CGGTCTCACGGGGTCATGCTCTGACATTTGTGTTCCTCTCGTTTTTATTTTTGTTTTTCACAAATTTTCACATTGGCTTTAACCAAGCTTTGACATGTGTGACCTAATTTGACGGTCACACACCGACGTCAGACGTAGAACGCCACACCAGTCACCTGGAGTGATTATTTGGGCCAGAAAGCTTTTCCAGCGGTGGTGGTTTTCGGGCCTCGGAGGAACCTGGCATCGATGCTATTTTGCGCCCGCTCGAAACAGCCACATGTCTGCAGCGTGAAGCTGTACATGTGCTGCCAACCGTGTCCTCCCAGTTATGTGTTTGTTTTTTGTATCCAGACAGACCAATTCAACGGTGCACGTCGCACATTCGACATCACGTGACGTCTGTGGCAACGTTATATTCCTCGGCAGTACATCTCTCCAGAATTATATAAGCCTCCAGATCTCTAAGACATAAAGTATTTGGAACTCTCAAAAGCCTCTACGGCGAAAAAGGCACCAGATGACATCTAAACCTCCTGGGAAAGAGTTCTTTCACCACATGCCATCTGTTCCATCGCAGCTTGAACTATGCCTGACTTCTGAAATGCTATCCAATACTTCCTTCAAAAAGCCGCCTTCGGCGTCTCACCATCAGCCAGCTGCATTAGCTGGTTCTGGGATCGCAAGGCCATGCCCTACTTTTTGATTGGTTTAACCGACCATCGAACGACGTTGCACGTAATTGTTAGTCCTTAACTATCGCATCCTTTCTGGACCCTACGACCATGAACCATTTCCGATGCGCACCGTATCTAAGTCGCACCACTGGTGGCCGTGTATATTCACACTCTCTCTGGGCTCGCAAGAGACCGCTGTTGGTTGTCTGTGTGAGTGTTGTGGTGAAGTGTTGGTGCGTATGAGTGACCGGGAAATAGACGCTATGTTTCATAAGACCTCTCTTTGTTGGGACTCGCGAGAAAGCCTAGCAGGAGCGAGGTCTCCACTAGCATTAACTATCACGCAATCAGCCAGAGATCTGCTACAAACTGACGCAAAGTGACCCGGATTCACAAATATCCATCTGCACGTCGTCAGTCTTTAAGTTTCTTCGTGGATCACCGGAATCGTGAGCCAACCCCTCCTCAACCTATCCTTGAACGCTTGAGCCTGCATCACTGTGCGACAGTGTTATTTGTCTGTGCTGTGTGTTGTCACGTACTAACACACATGGCTATACTTACACACGCACCTACTGAGGGACAGCTTGTTGCACAAATCATGCAGGAAATCGCGCACGAATTTAGGGTTCAAGGGCATACACAACACCTCAGGACATTCATTGGGGCGGGTTCGTCAAAATTTGATGATTGGGTAAGATATATAGACAACTTTTTTTTTGCACAACGGATGATGAACGCACGCGACTTTTGGTAACCTGCACTTTGCTGGACGCAGACCCGAGTGGACCTGCAGGCGGATTTGCCTGCAGGCTTATCAATGAAAATCCTCAAAATGGCAGGGATTACAGTGCGCTGCAGGATCCGTATTACGCTCAAATGAAGTTGCGTCAAGTTGAACAGCATTCTGGAGAGCTCGCGCAAAATTTTTCGGAGGGGCTTCAGGCGATGGCATCTGAGGCTTTTGACGATGTGTCTGGTCCCCAGGTTCAGCGTTTTCTGGTGAAGTATTTCAAAAAGGAGTGACTGACGATAGGTTTGCCCGTGGCATCATTCGTAGACAACGTTCCACACTCCAGGAAGCAGTTAATTTTGCGTGTGTGGAACAACAAACGGACCGCACTTTTGAAATGTGAAGAGGAAGCATATGCCCCACTGAACCAGTGGATATTGACATTATCCGTAACGTACGTGGAGCTGGAAAAGTTGAAAAATAATGAGAGTTACTTAAAGAGCTAAGCTCCAAATTAGACAGTCTCAAAACGTTTGTCAGTTTCAAAACAGAACGCGCCTCCACACTAACCAAAGGGTCAAGGTCATCCGCAAAATTGATGATATATACCTCGAAATGGACCGCCTCAGAGGCAACCACAAACTTTTGCACAATCACGTCAAGTCAGCCGTCTCAGCGGTCGGGATTCGCGCGAATCCTTATAAAACCCCAGACACTCCGATGTGCTGGATATACCTGGGCAATCGTAAAACGCATTCTGTTGTAGATACGGGCACCGACATCTCCCTTATTTCCCGTGAAGATTTCGACAGCATCTCGCGCAAAAAAATGTATATGAGCTTTCAACAACGGACTTCACCCCCTTCAATCCGTTTCTGAACATAGGTTTAAAACTTTTGGAACTGCTAGTCTTCCGAAAGCGATCTCAAAGTTTAATAATACATTCCAGTTCCAGATTGCTGAAGCTCAAAACCACTGCATTTTAAGAAACGATTTTTCCAGTTTCTTTGGTGCAAAATTACCTTTGGCAAGAAGACTCCCAGCATTCATATAGCGTCATTCCTCTAAGCCCTCAGCGTCTTGCATGTCAGTCAGTGCCATCTCCAGTCCAGACCTCTCAGAAGACAATCAGTCCCGCGCAGTCTTACGTAGGACGGCCCGCTTTCATCAAGAGCGTACAGGCTTATAGAGCAAGACTGCTTCATCGAACCGCTGAGCAACGCTCCATATCTCAGTGAACAGCCAGGAGTTTTTCTAATGAGTACTGTGGGGTGTCAGAATAGCAGTGGACGCATCTTGACTGTCCTGGCTAATAGCACAGCCAGAGACCACACTTTGCCAGCCCGAAATACTACAGGCGCTGCTGAAACGTCAGAAGGAGCCCAAATCAGGAGCATAAAATAGATGACGACTCAGGACATCAGAAGGTCGCTCTGCATTCTACTTACAAAACTCAAAAGGCTGATCTTTCCCACATCCCTAGCTATGAAAAGCAGAAGACTGAAAACTTGTTGGACAGATCTTCGCATCTATTTATCCGGAGCGATTTGGATACTGATCGTAGATCTAATAACGATTAAGATAAATACAAAGGCTCATCCTCCTGTAAATCAAAATTCTAAAAGGCTTCCTTTCAGTCAGAAACAAACGGTTGAAGGCCGCATAAATAAACCGCTCAAGGCTGAAATCATTCAACGTAGTCAAAGTCCATGGCCTAGCCCACTGGTCATAATTGACGAGAACGATGGAGAAAGAAGATACTGCGTGGATTACAGAAAGCTGAACCAAGCAACTGTGAAAATCGCCATCCACTCCCTCGCATCGACGACATCCTCGCCTCGCTTGAAGGATCAAAATACTTCACCTGTTTGAGCCTAAAAAGTGGTTATTGGCAAGTTGCTATAGATCCCGATTTTATACACAAGACTGCTTTCACTTGTTTTCTATGTTTGCATACCTTTTCTGTCCTTCCATTTGGTCTCTGCGATGCCATAGGACTATTTTCTCAGCTTAAGGTTTCGGCAGGTACACAACATGTATTTGCAATAGCGTACATTGATGACATCATAATTTTCTCAAAAACCTTCGAAGAGTATCTCAGTCACATTGAAAGTGTTTGGACGTCTTCGCAGTGCAGGCGGGCGGCTTAAAATGTCAAAATGTGAGTTTCTGAAAACAGGAAGTTAAACGCTTAGGTCATATGGTTACGCCAAACGGGATCAAGCCAGATCCTGGTAAAGTAGAAGTCAATAGAGACCTAAATCACCCCTGCGACGTGAAATGCTTTCGTTCCTTTATTGGTATGTGCTCGTATTATCGCCGATTCATTCCAAATTCTACGAAAATCGCAAAACCTGTCAAGGAACTAGCGAGGAAAACAGACACTTTTATAGCAACGCAGCATATCAAAAAGCCTTCGAAAGTATTCACAAAGCTCTCATTGAAGCTGCTGTGCTAGCTTGCCCAGATACCTCAAAGCCATATAAACTTTACACAGATGCGTCACACCACGCCATTGGTGCTGCTCTCGTGCAGGACACGGAACAAGGCGAAAGAGTAGTTCAATATTTTTCACATTAGTTGAATGCTGCACAACAAAGTTGGCCTGCAACAAGCATACGCAATTGTTTACGGCATTCAAAAACTGAGACACAACTTTCCTCACTCAAAATTCACCGCAGCGACTGACCATAAACCCTTAAAACATGTTTTACCCGCCGAATGAGAAATGCAAGAATCCAACGCTGGGCCATCATTCTCGACGAATATGGCTGCGATGTCCAGTATATTACCAATGAAAGGTTGTTTTGGAATCTGCATGTTTTGCAGAGGAGATCGTTCTTTTCGCAATTTTCGCGTGTTTCAGGTTGCGCGAGTTTTCAAATACTGAACTACGTCTCTGTACATGTCAGGCCAATAACAGCGCGAACGGAGTTTACATGTTTTGTCGATGTCTAGATAACCACCAAAATATCCTGAATGGGTCTCTTTAATGAGAGAGTTTTGGAGGATAGTGCGGCAGTCGGCGGCCCCGGTGTCGACGATAAGCGAATTTAATATGCCAGGAGGTATTGATTAACATACGCTATCAGATCAACATCAGCTGCATTGAGACAAGGCCGCCGTTGCGATGTCATGCCCCTGATTTCCGGAGGGCACAGCTGGGAAGCGGTGTGTTTGGCCACATAATCAAAACTCGCCGGATACGCTCGTTTAAATAGTGCCTCCGTGTACGCTGTCTGTGGGCCGTTCAAATAATGCCTCCGTGTACACTGCCTGTGGGCCGTTTAAATAGTGCCTCCGCGTACACAGCCTGTGGGCCATTGCTCGGACGAGCAGTCCCCGCTCATCATGCCGTCAAATCACAGGCTCAACGGCTTCCCTGCTTACAGCAAGCCAACCTGAAGCCAACCAAGCATGCAGGAGCGGGGGAGGGCTTGTGCCCTGACATGTGCAGCACACCAACTCGAGCCTGCTGGTGAATACCACCAACTGGCCCCAGGTACCCCGTTTATCAGCGGCAGCGCGAGGCATCCCAATGTGCTGGGCTCTCCGCACCGCGGGTGGGAACAGAAGGCGCCAAATCAGTGACGTCAGAGTGGGCGGCTCACCTTGCTGTGCTCTATGCTCTGCAGGTAGGAGAGGGTCCGTGTGGGCCGGGGCCGCGTCAGCGAGTCTGCGATGTCCTTCAACTTCTCCTCCCGCTTGATGGAGTAGTCGGTCAAGTAGGCACTGTTGCCGTCTGAGGGCACACAAACAGAGACTTGAGTCCCCCACCCACTGACTGAGCATGGACTGGTGGAAGGTGCTTTGGCAAGAGCTGTCAAGCGTGTTGCTCGACAGGAGGCGTATCACATCACACGCAAATGCGGAGAACACCTGCATTATTTGCGTAAGCGGCATTCAGCACGTAGAACACAATGTCCCCGACAATTTTTATATTCTCTTCATTTGTCATGAGCAAAAAAATGTGATCCGAAGTGAATAGCCCAGCCAATTCACCATATCACAACCAAAACACGTGAGCGAAGCACAAGCTCGCCCAAGACAGAGCCCTGGCGGGCTTCCTGGATACTGAGCTTGCCTTGTTTGACGGTAGATGGCAGCAGCACACTGGGGCGCGGCGCTACGTTCAGATCTGGCGACGCAAGGCTGTCGATCATTCGCTTCGGAGGCTTGTCCTCGCTCAGGAGGTTCTGAAAGCGCCCAGAACCCGCAGCTGAGCACACATCCCAAGTTAACTGTCCAAGGAAGTGGGCACCCGATCATTCGGACCTTCACCGGCGGCTGCGCGTTGCTGTCACGAACAACATCCACAGCGTAATGTTTCAGAGGCCCTGGCGTACACACACGACAATAAACACAGCGTACACTATGATTACAAATTTTGTACAACATTTCTATCGCGGGAACTGTGAAGCTGGATGTCGGGCTCGAAAAGCTCGAAAAAGCCCGGAAGCTCAAGAGCACTGCCGGCGGCACGCAGGCACATGACCAGCGGCCGGCTCCTGCCGCGGCCGCGCTCCGCACTGCTCCCCGGTCCCCAACCGACCACGTGACGGCAAGCAACGCGCAGAACCACGGCCAAGACTGGCTCGATCGCAACACACGGCGATTTCTTCATGGGAGCATCAGAAGCCGGACACGAGCGGAGGCGCCCGCGCTACGCGACGCACGTTCCCTCTCAGGCGAACGGCAACTGGTCGTGTTTTAGTCGGCAGCGCTCAGAACAGCTCAGCGTGCGGTGACACTTGGTCTGTACCGCACACGTTACGCCACGGAGGTGGCGGGTTCGAGTCTGGCTTCCTGCCCGCGTTTTTGATGGTTGGGAGGCAGTCTGGTGGTGGGCAACAGCCGAAGCCGCACTCCACTGCCGCAGCTCACGTGAAAAAAGAGTAATCCATTTTCATTACCAGCCTCGGCAAGTGAACAGCCGGCTGAGCTCTATTCGTCCATGTTTATCCGCGAGAGGCCCTCTCAGCGTATCAGGCGCTGCCATGCTGCTGATGACGCCAAACTGAGACAACTGTCAACAGGCGCAGCCGAACATATCCACGCACGCAAATATCCGGAGCTGTCCGAGAGGACAGCCAGGGTTAGTTATTGCCTTTAGCCGCTACTGCTAGCGACCCTTCGGTTTAGGTGCCTTGGCGCCCAGCCAGCTGGCTCTTCCCTAGCCGTAAAAGCTCCCTGTTTTTACATCCCCGCGCCAGAAAAATTCGGCCGTAAAACGCCTCTTTTTGTCTGCCCTTACCAGGAAACTGAGATCTGGTGCGGACATGAACCCAGCTCGCGCGTGCCCTGCTCGCCGTCAACGCCCCGACCCTGACGCCGCCACCCGCGACCGGAGCCCCGAGCCGGACACGGCCGGTCACGCGCCCGTGCTGCCGCCTGCCGGCCGCCGGGCGAACCAGCGTCGCCCGTTTAACGGTCTCGCACCATCCGGCCGTCACATTGCAAGCAGAGCGCGGGGCGGTGAGCGGAGGGCTGCCTCCGCTCGGAGGCCGGATGACGTCATCGATAAGGCGGGATGACGTCACCCCGCCGGTCCCGGCTGCGTCGATGCCCTCAACGGATAACACGATAACGAATGCCTCTGCCGAGTTAGATGCTCAGTTTTCCTCGATGGACTCACTGCACCTTCATGATTATCTTTCTTTTATGGTCGTCATACTTGGCCTGGCGATTTGCATTGACAGCCTGCGTCAGGATCTTCAGGACTGTTGCAACGCCGCAAAAAACACGGGTCACACCCCAATTTTTTAGTTCAATCTTTCCATGCTTATCGCAAGGTTGATGCTGCGCGCTCGCGAAAAGTGGAAGAGGGCAGTGCCCTCTCGTTCTCACGCCCGCGGTTGTTTCAAACTTATTTTCTACTTGCGGGCAATTCTTACAACATAACACGTTTAACTCTACAGTCAAAACACATTCAAGAGGTTCTGACATCAGCTGGCAGTAACAAGCGCCACACGATTGATTGATGACAACCAATGTGCTACGCACCTCCTTTCGTACGCTGAACACTGCTGGTGGCGTGCTCCAATTCAGTGTGACGTGAATTAACGTGATTGTCACGGCGCCCACAATTTCGCTATGTTCGTGATTTCGTGATTGGTAGCATCAAGAAAATACATACACCAAAACAAAAGATCGAGATATTGCTTAGAAAGGGCCATTCTAGCGGGCATCGAGACATCGGCTGGTAAGGATCCCCACCACCAGCGCTGGTGGCGCGGAGTCCAGCCGCCGCTCCGAGTCTGGCGCGCCAGTGGCTGGTACGGATCCCCACCACCAGCGCTGGTGGCGCGGAGTCCAGCCGCCGCTCCGAGTCTGGCGCGCCAGTGGCTGGTACGGATCCCCACCACCAGCGCTGGTGGCGCGGAGTCCAGCCGCCGCTCCGAGTCTGGCGCCAGTGGCTGGTACGGATCCCCACCACCAGCGCTGGTGGCGCGGAGTCCAGCCGCCGTCCGAGTCTGGCGCGCCGGTAAGCACCACGTGTCGCGGTGTCTGCCCGCACCAAAGGGCCTCCTTCCCGCTGTGGGGGATGCGGCAGCCAGGTGGCGGGGTGCCTCCGACATCAGAGGCAGCCAGCCGGCGAGACAGCCAGGTGACGAGATGCCCCCGATGGGAGGCAGCCAGCCGGCGAGACAGCCAGGTGACGAGATGCCCCCGATGGGAGGCAGCCAGCCGGCGAGACAGCCAGGTGACAAGATGCCCCCGATGGGAGGCAGCCAGCCGGCGAGACAGCGTCGCTCGTGATGTATAATGCTGGGGGCTTCCCCTTCGCCTCGTCACAGCGTCGTTCGTGACCTATAATGTCGTCACAAACGGCGCATCGCGAGAAACGAAGAGCAGCTAAAAAAGGACCAGGTCTCAATCGGCGGAGTGCCACAGCTCCACCCAAGCGAGGCGGTCCGGCGTCTCGTGCAGTGATCTGAACGTTCGTGCGCCGCCGGCGCCGGAATAACCCCGGCCGCGGCCTTCACAGCACGCTCCGCCAAGTCTGGCAAGGTTCCGCGGCCGGCAAGCCACCTCTGACATGGCGAGACAGCAATAGGGAGAGCGAAGTGATGAGAGGAGGGCGGGGGGGGGGGGGGGCGTGCCGGAGAGGAGGGGTAATTGTGTGCGACGGGGGCAGAGAGCGACACAGAGTAGCCTCCAATCCGCAAAAAAGAGGACGGGCTGCTTGGTCTGACCGGTTCACCATAAGTCAACTGACCGGTTCACCATGGTTCAACTGACCGGTTCACCATAGTCAACTGACGGGTTCAACCGACAATTGTCTGACCGGTTCACCATAACAGTCACGTGAACACTGGCCAGCATTCCTGCAGCACGGTCTGCCGCGTCGCAGTGCTGCAGCCCCTGCTATGAACAAGCTCCCTTCTCAGGGTTGCCTTGCCAAGCGAGACCACAGCCTGACCCGGCCACCGACATTAGGCCATGACTCAGTTAATAGCCTCTGCTCAGCAACAACTCCGACCTAGCATAGATTCTGGAGCGAGGACTGTGGGGTCAGGACCGCCTTATATTGACATAGTAATATGACGACTGTGGCATGCATCGGGAATGTTTCACCCGCAACGGCAAAAGATTCCAGAGTGCAAACATACATCGATCCCCTCGTCATTATGATGAGTTTACACAACGCTCTGAGCTCCCCCCCTCCCCCCCCCCCCCCACCTTGGGCGCAGCCCTCGCCCGTCTCCTCAGCAGGCGGCCGAGCGCGGGGGCGGATCTGGCGTCCCTCCCGGCGGATCTAGCGTCCCTCCCCAGCCCTCTGCCGTACCGGTGACGTCTGCAGGATCTCGGCGATGGTCTCCGACCGCGCGCGGCCCTGTTTGGCGCGCGCCTGCTTGGTCAGCCGTCGGCTGCGGCAGCGGTCCTGCGTCGGCGGCGACTCAGACGTCGGCGGGTTCGACACGTGCTTGTCTGCGGACGGAGGACGCCGGTCAGCCTTCACCTGCCAACAACTGCGCGGCAGACGTCGTCCAGAGCCCCGCAGGGCGCGGCCGATGTGGCCGGCGCGTGAGCGACCGGCAGCCACAGACGCCGGTGGGAATCGGACCCGGCTTTTTACCGTGGAAGCCCGCCGCTGTTCCGACTCATGTAGTGCGCTACATGCATCCTTGTCAGCTTGGCGACCCACGGGATGGCACCGCAGAAACGAGGTTAGCCTGTTTCAAGCGTTCCACGAAGCCAACCAGTAAATGTTGACAAAAGGGACGCACTGAGCGTGAGGGAACGGTCATTTTTCAGGGGCAACACTTGCCACTTTCTCGTTATGCGTGAGGGAACGGTTATATTTTAAGGGCTGTTCAACTGGCCGGTACACCATAGTCCAACTGACGGGTTCCACTGACAATTGCCTGACCGATTCTCCATAGCAGTCGCGAGCAACACGGGCCACGATCACATTACACGTGGGGGGGGGGGGGGGCGGTTATATTTCAGTGGCAACACGGGCCACTATCTCATTATACGTGAGGGGATGGCTATATTTCACGGGAAACACGGGCCGCTATCTCATCATGCGTCGGGCCCGAGATGTGACTGACGGTTGGTTTGACTGCTGACTTTTGAGGGTCGCTCATGAGATGTCAGTTGGAACCAGGGAGAAAGCGAGCGCAGGGGGATAGATCAGTTCAATGCGCACTGATGGAATGTTTCCGTCCAACGCATAGCAATGCTTTGTTAACCAAAGCCCCGCCGCTAGGTTCAAAGCTACAAGCCCTTTGTGACGTCACAGGCCAGGACACCAAGCGGAACGGCAGACGGGGAGTACGGAATATGAGGCGCCGAACATGAGGCGCCTGTCTGATGCCGGTGCATCTAGTAGTGTTTATTTTCGAGCGAACGTGAGACATCCATGGGTGGCAATCATCCAACTGTGTACCTGGCGCTTGGTACTGCATAAAGCCGCACATGGGTGAGCAAGGTCGCAAAACAGCTGGCAGGCTCGAGAGCGTGGGACAGAAGGGTTTTCCGACGCGCAGCAGCGAGTGCAAAAGGCAAACAGCGGCTGAAGGCTGCCTTGGGTCGGTGTGGAGATGACAGCGATGCAGTTTTTCCATGAAAACGAGCGCCCCTATGGCTGGCAATTACGAAGGTAAGGACGCGACGACTGCCGGTAGATAAAGGCAAGCCGGGGTGTCAAAGGCTAAAAGACAACGCCAAGCCCAAGAAGGTGTGACATGAGGTTTTCTTACACAGAAGAGGGAGAGCAAAAGGTCGAGAGCGGAGCGGAGAGAGAAATCGTCGCCTGCACGAATCATCCGCTCATTGACCCGTCGACAAACACTTACCGAACTGGGTCAACAACGGGACAAGCACCCACACCCCCAGTGAAAGGAGAACCGAACAGCGTCGAAATTGGCGAAAACATGAAAACAGCCAGCCGTCGTCCCGCGACGACCGGCGCGTCGGCGCGTGATGTGTCACAACACAGTAATTCTGATCGCGGAGACCACGCAAACATAAATCAGCACGTAATGAGCCAGCTGTGAAGCGGAAGCCGACCATTGGCCGTCTTCAGGCCGGCTGCGGCGCACCGTCCGAAGGGTGGTGTTTCCCACTGGCTGGGGCGCGGGCCGCGGGTGCGTGCGAACGCCAGCGCCGCCGGAGGCCGGCCTCTCTCCCACAGCGGGCCCCGGCCGCCCGCCGGCCCGCGCTCTGCCGCGGGACGCACGCATCCATCACCCTGCCGACGGCCGCCCTGTAATTGGTGCGTTTACGTGCGGCATGCGGCAGGTCGGAGCGGGCGGCAGAGCGGCCAGCGCCGTATTTGGGCCGGCTCGGCCGCCTACCTCACTCCGGCCCGTCCGCTTGGTCAGTGTTCCCTCCCCTCCTCGCCGCTAGGCCGCCGTCCAGGCACGGACGGCCACCGCCGTCACCCTGACCCCGTGCTAGGTCACCTCCTCTCTCCTCAGACACCGTTCCCGGACACTGTCGTCAGCCCCGCCCGTCCTACCGGGCCACGCTGTCCTCCGCGACGGCGCGGTCCGCTGTGACGTCATCACCGACCCGCCACTTCGCAAACCCGGCCGCCGCCCGCTGGCGCTGGAGCGGCCGCGTCGGCCGGCGGCGCGCCACTACCGGCGAGGACGGATCCGGTGCCGGGCTAACAGCCGTTGGCAGTTGGTCCGCCGTGCCATTTAAACCAGACGCGGCGCGTCGCCGTAGAACGCTGGTTCAGTGAGCGGCGGCCGACGGACGCCGACGCCTCTAAATATGCGCCACGACAAGGCCGCCGCCTTAGAAAGCGCGCCGGACCGCGCGGCGCGTGACGGATAGTGTGGCGCGCCGCCCACAGCGTCCACTTCAGGAGGGCCTTGTAAACAAGATAGCGCCCGGCCGGCTCTGGCGGACGCGCATGACGCGGGAAAGATGGACTTCTCGGACTCGGATACGGAAGCAGGGCTTAACCAAACGACTCTCTGGATAGGTCACCTCGCAGCATCACAGAGACAGGCGGCGGGGTCCTTCGATCTCGCATGAAACAGTGCAGACCTAGACGTCACCGGAGGGGATGCAGCGGGCTACCTCGTCCCCCCTCCCCCCTCTTAGGTTTCAAAACTATGTGAGGAAACTGGGGATCCGTTAGTGTTTCCCGGCTCAACACGCTTTTCATCCACCTACGTACATTTAGCCGCCAGCCTACAGTCCTAGCTCAGCCACTGCATATACCAAACAGCAAACATTGCACAATGAGCCCGACAAACCAGGCGACACAGCAAGCAGACAGCACACTCGGAAGCTGCCAGCACCGCTGGGTGCTGCCGCATTTGCAGGGGGCAGGCGACGCCCCCCCCCCCCCCCTCCCCCCTCCGTCACGACGTTCGACAATCTTAAGTGCCATCCTTGTGACCCTGTATGGGACAAAGGCTACAAATCGGACAAGCCAGTAACTCACTTTGAGCCTGGTGACCCCTGGGTTACCGGGAATGATAGAAGAGGTTCCGGACCATTAATACTGAACACCCGTCCATGACATTTTCGCGAAGAACTGTGAGGACATCGCGGATCAATCATGCGACATAAAAACAACAGACAGGCTGAGTGGAGCTGAGAGAAGCGAGGTGGACACGTTGAGGGCACCTGAGAAAAGCGAGGGGGACACGCTGAGCGGAGCTGAGAGAAGTGGGGGGAACACGCTGAAGGCAGCTCAGAGAAGCGAGGGGACACGCTGAGGGCAGCTCAGAGAAGCGAGGGGACACGCTGAGGGCAGCTCAGAGAAGCGAAGGGACACGCTGAAGACAGCTCAGAGGAGCGAGGGGGCGGGCAGTCTCCCAAGTCCTAGAGATTTAGCGTTATGTCTGCGGTGACGCGTGAATGTAAAAGAATCAGGGTCAGATCTGAGCGCAAGCGTACGGAGGTACCTGCGCTCCTTCGTGACCAATCACACGGGACAATGCGCTCTGACGTCATCAGGAGAAGCCCGCCTGCAATCGGCTGAAGATAACGCTTGCAATGAAAAAGTAGCGTACAATAGATACCGCGTATAGTAGAAAGCAAAATGCGGATAGTACCGGTATGCATGAAAAGTACACAGGACGCGACATGCTATAAAGCAATGACATCCCTGACGGGCGAGAAAAGTACAAAACTGGTCTCGGCTGGTCACGACTGGTGGAAGCCCCGCGACTCCTCCACCGGTGCAGCAGAACACATTCCACAACCACCCATCCACTCATTTCAACATCCCCCTTCTACGAGCGATGTTCAACACAACTCACTATTCAGGGCCCAGCATCGCGACACCACGGCCGAAACCAGACGCTTAAAAAAATATCCCACAGCGGGAACCGAACCCGGCACCCACCGTCAGCCTGTCCGCCGGGGATGCCGCGTGGCTCGCTGGCCGGCGGCCGGTTCTCCTTGAGCTCGACGTGCGCGTCGGCGTCAGCGGGCGGCGGCGGGTCGCGCTCGGGGGTCTGTTGGCCGGTCAGCGCCGTCGCCGGCAGCGGGCGCCGCATCGGCTCCGACTGACAGCTGAGGAGGCGGCGCCGGCCCACCGGCGGCGTCTGGAACGGCTCCGGCCCTGCGAGGCGGGAGCCGGTCAGCAGGGGTCAACCGAGTTCAACAGAAGGGTCAACAGAGGGGTCAACAGCAGGACATGGCAGATAACGATACAGAGAGGTCGACAACGGGAGACGGCAGAGGTCGACAGGGAACCAAACAACAGACAGCAGACAGCAGACGTCGACGCAGAGGTTCACAGCGGGAGGCAGCAGGGGCTCACAGAGGAGTCTAAACGGGAGACAGGGGAGGCAACAGAGTCGACAGGTAAGTCACAATGGAAGACACAGCGGATAGCAGAGGTCAGCAACGGAAGACAACAGAGATCGACAAAGAAGTCAACAGCAGCAGACAGCAGAAGACGACAGAGGTCAGCACCGGAAGACAGCAGAGGTTCACAGAGAGGCCAACAGAGATGCCGCCAAGCCGGTCCCTTGACGCACAGTTCAAACGTCTACATGCAACGCGTAGGAAACACGTGGTGCAAGCGTGAGGTACAACATGTCCACCTACAGCTGCACGTCTCACGAGCTTCCGGCAAAGACAGGTTAGTTTATCTCATGCGCAGGCTAACTCAGCAGTCGCTTCAGATGGAGATCAACACCGTCAAAAGACAGGTTGGTTCATCTCATGCGCAGGCCAACTCCGCAGTCGCGTCAGATGGAGATCAACACCGTCAAAAGACAGGCGAACGGCGCGGTGGACAACAGTGGCCTGACCTAGACCGCGAACGCCAAACGCTAACCTGGCCGCATGGGGCGAGCACACGACACCAGCTCACAGTACACCAGCTCAGCCTGACAAGGACGTCTCGAGAACCGCGCGAGACTGAGGTGAAAGACGGGTCCCATATGGTCAGACAGACACTGCAGTCTCCGGAACCGCGAGAGACTGAGGTGAAAGACGGGTCCCATATGGTCAGACAGACACTGCAGTCTCCGGAACCGCGAGAGACTGAGGTGAAAGACGGGTCCCATATGGTCAGACAGACACTGCAGTCTCCGGAACCGCGAGAGACTGAGGTGAAAGGAAAGGTCCCATATGGTCAGACAGACACTGCAGTCTCCGGAACCGCGCGAGACTGAGGTGAAAGGAAAGGTCCCATATGGTCAGACAGACACTGCAGTCTCCGGAACCGCGAGAGACTGAGGTGAAAGACGGGTCCCATATGGTCAGACAGACACTGCAGTCTCCGGAACCGCGAGAGACTGAGGTGAAAGGAAAGGTCCCATATGGTCAGACAGACACTGCAGTCTCCGGAACCGCGCGAGACTGAGGTGAAAGGAAAGGTCCCATATGGTCAGACAGACACTGCAGTCTCCGGAACCGCGAGAGACTGAGGTGAAAGGAAAGGTCCCATATGGTCAGACAGACACTGCAGTCTCCGGAACCGCGAGAGACTGAGGTGAAAGGAAAGGTCCCATATGGTCAGACAGACACTGCAGTCTCCGGAACCGCGAGAGACTGAGGTGAAAGGAAAGGTCCCATATGGTCAGACAGACACTGCAGTCTCCGGAACCGCGAGAGACTGAGGTGAAAGGAAAGGTCCCATATGGTCAGACAGACACTGCAGTCTCCGGAACCGCGAGAGACTGAGGTGAAAGGAAAGGTCCCATATGGTCAGACAGACACTGCAGTCTCCGGAACCGCGAGAGACTGAGGTGAAAGGAAAGGTCCCATATGGTCAGACAGACACTGCAGTCTCCGGAACCGCGAGAGACTGAGGTGAAAGGAAAGGTCCCATATGGTCAGACAGACACTGCAGTCTCCGGAACCGCGAGAGACTGAGGTGAAAGACGGGTCCCATATGGTCAGACTGGTATTGAACGGCTTAGGGCAACGCGGTCGCACTGGAACAAAAGGGCATCCGGAGCTGACGAGTCTGGGCTGGAGGGAGGACCATACCGCCCCGAGACCGCTGCCGGGGCTGACGAGTCGGGGCTGGAGGGAGGACCATACCGCCCCGAGACCGCTGCCACACACGACACGGGCAGCGTTCAACCCCCGCGGATAACATCCCCCTTTTAACCCGCCGACACCGGAAACGACGCGTCTCCGGCTGCGGCTTACTCAGCAGCGGTATGAAGTCTAAGATCGGAGATCGGAGAACATGCGACAGTGAAGTGCTATTATCGACCGCCGCGCAGCCTCGGCTGTCGTGTGATAGGATCGACAGCCACACATGATCACAACATCCATGTGAGCTCCTGGCAGAAGCAGCATCTATCATCCACCGCATGTCGAGATATTACCGCTTCATCGTTTTCCTTCCAAGGCCGCAGCGATGGCGTTCGCCAGCGACGGCGCAGTGGACACCCTCGTGGGTGCCACAGGACACCCTGTGTCGTCAGAGTACACGCGCCGCCTTTCCTCCGCCGTCGCACGCCGTCAGCCCGGGCTCGCCGGTTCCACTTTCGTCCCCCTGACCTCACCAGCGGTGCAATGTTCCATCACAAAGCCTTCTAAACCGGCTTCGCACCTGGGTCGGTGCTTCCATAAGCGCAAGAGATCAGCCAGGAGCCGTATGTTTGGCTGGCGCCGACGTTGGCAGCGGCTCCCACCAGGGCCGACGGAGACCAGCCCGTCCTGCTCCGGGAGTGCTCCAGTCGTGCCAGTCCTGTTACCTCCCGTGCCGGCCCCGTGGTGGGCCACAGGCCGCCGCCCCCGTGGTGGGCCACAGGCCGCCGCCCCCGTGGTGGGCTACAGGCTGCCGCCCCCGTGGTGGGCCTCAGGCTGCCGCCCCCGTGGTGGGCCACAGGCCGCCGCCCCCGTGGTGGGCTACAGGCTGCCGCCCCCGTGGTGGGCCTCAGGCTGCCGCCCCCGTGGTGGGCCTCAGGCTGCCGCCCCCGTGGTGGGCCTCAGGCTGCCGCCCCCGTGGTGGGCCTCAGGCTGCCGACCCCGTGGCGCCCGGACCTGGCGTTCCACTCCCTGCATCCAGCGTTCGGCCAGTGAGAGACCTGAGCCCGACCACCCGTCCATCATCAGCCCGACTGCCCACTCATCATCAGACCGACTACCCGTCCATCACCAGCCCGACTACCCGTCCATCATCAGCCTGACTACCCACTCATCATACTCACCCACCACCAGCCCGACCACCCATCCGTTATCAGTCCCATCACACACCCATCAAAAGCCAGACTGCCCACCCATCATCATCCCACCTATCCACCCATCACAAGCCCAACTCCTCACTCATTACCATCCATATTACCCCCTCATCAACAGTCCGACTACACATCCATCATCAGCCCGACAATCCACTCATCACCAGGAAATATAACTTTCCATTACCAGCCCGAACACCCACCCATCACCAGCCAAGCTAACCACCCATCACCAGCCAACCTACCCACCCATCACACGCCGACTACACACCCATGCGCCAATCTTCCACCTGCTCTCTTCCGCTGGGGCTAAAACAGTTAACTGTGTATGAGCCGTTCACAAATGAGACTTTCGCCTTTCCAAAGATATTTGCCAATCCAGCCTGTGCAGTCCCGTTAACTGAAAAGCCGGCAGCAACAGCGGCAGGTGATGGCAACAGGAGCTTCGGCGTCGGTAGCAGGTAACAGGTAACGGCGGCGGTAGTGACAAGTAACAGCGGCAGCGACAGCGGTGACAGGTAACAGGTAATAGCGGCAGCGGCAGCGGCAGCGGCGGCGGCGACAGGTAACAGGTAGTGGCGCCGGCGGCGGCCGGTGACCGGTCCGGACTCAGCTGGCGCCAGTCCCACAAAAACCGGGCGCGACCAGTCGTGATCTACTGCTGGCGCCGTAAACAGCGCCCTGCCTCGCCTCCGGTCGGCCCGGCGGACCGGCACTGTCAGCGTCCCGCCAGACGCCGGGCCGGGCCGGGCCGGGCCGGGCCGAGCCGGGCCGAGCCGAGCCGGGCCAGGCCGGGCCGAGCCAGGCCGGGCCGGGCCGGGCCGAGCCGAGCGGGATCCCGCTGTTGGCGCCCTCCGGGGTGGCGGCGGCGGCGGCGGCGGCGGCGGGATCTCCCGGGACCGCAATAGATTGTCAGGCGGGTGTGACGTTACGAGTGAGAGCGTGGAGACCCGCCGGCCTGACACAGACGGATCTCAGGCGGAAATAATGCGGTTCCTTCATGACTCAACCGAGAGGGACACTTTAAGCATGAGTGTGCGGGGATCGCTTCCATGACAGCAAGGCGCGATGAACACTTATGTTAAATCAGAATTGTCGTCTGAGACGGCCAGCGGAGAGGCTCTCCCGAGAGAACACACGACTGGGCCTTCCTTTAGACACCGCGGGGTAGTCTCGACACCGTAAGACACCGTGTCGTTCGAGACATCCAGGGCACGCAACGCCCCGCAGTTGCGGACGGTCCGACTGCTCTCGGAGCCGCCGGCGCCGACACCGCCGCCGTCAGTTCGGCCGGCTGCCAGACTGCTGGGCGCCGCCGCCGCGCTGCACCCGCCGCGAGGCGTGCAGCCGTGCGCTGCGAGCGTGCCGGCCGCCCCGAGCGGCGACAGCTCCGGCGGCGCGCGCCCCGCGTCCCTGGGAGACGGCCGAGATCGGCGGTGGCGGCACTCGACGCCGACGTCCCACGGGCTCAGGTCTGTGGGCCGGCGTCCGCGGCCCAGGGGTGCGGAGCAACCCTCAGCGTGGGACGAACCGCGACGGCGGCGCTCAGAGGCGCCCAGCCGGTCACTGGAAGCCGGCCGCCGTGCAGGCGCCAACGCCGAATGCACGGCCGCGCAGGAGATCACAGTGCAACGCTAGTGACCTGGTTTCGGTCGGACGCGGTCAGCCGGTCACGACATGCTGCGGCAGCCCAGGCAGCGGTGTTTGGGACGACAACGCGGCTTTGTCTTAGGTCGTATACAGTGAAGTGCCAGGTCAGCGTGATCCGTTGTGGCAGTCGCGACAAGTAAGTGGGCAACGTACCGGAGCTAAAGCAGCGTCGTTTGAGGCGAAGGTGCTCCGTTCTTAGTTTGAAACAGCTGCATGACGTATCAAGCACACCATTACAACCTCACCATGGTGAGATTGAGTGGGCATCTCAAATCGGTCCTATGTCCAAATCCATGTTTATAACTCCTTCCGTGACACGACGCCGTCTTTCTTCTGCGGAGGCGTCTCCATCTCGCAAAAGTTGGCCCGGTGGCGCCCCTAAGTCACGGTTACGACCCCTGACCGCCCGCCGCCACCAGGCCGGGTCGCATCGGGTCGGGAGCGGAACCAAGGCCGGATCCGAAGGCCGGTCCCGCCGCCGCCGTGGCCGGAGGGCGTGGCGCGAGCCCGCCAGCCGACCCGACCAGTCCACGTAGCGGCGCCGGCTGAGCGGATAGGCAGACACCGCGCCTCTGGTGAGCCCCCTTCTCCCCCTCAGCCGGTATGACCGGCGTGACCGTACCGACGCGACCTAGGGTCAACCCTGAGGTCACGCCTTGTTCCGTACGAGCTCATGAGCGCCGCGGGGGCGACGGCCAGACACGAGCATACCAGGCCGGGTGGACAAGAACAGAGGAAGCTTTTAGGGGTTGATTAGCTTATTGCTCATAACTAAACACGTCTGCTGCTGTAATGGTCCGTGAACCGTCGGCGACATGAAACGATTCCCTGTATCTGAGCGCTTCTAACAAACCATTTTGCTCCAGCAATTGTTATAGAGACAAGGTCAAGCTAGGGTGGACGAGACTGGACCAGACCAGACCACTATGCCGGACCAGACCAGGACAGAGCCGACCATACCACGACAGAACAGATCGGACCAGAAAAAACGGCACGACACAGAACATAATCGACCAAGTGAGAACGGACCGCACCACAACAGACAAATCGATCCCCAGAATGAGAGTGCATGGGAGACGGTGACCACATAAGCACCGGATACCAGCGAACGGTCGCGAGAGCGCACAATCCTCGACAGCATGGTCGAGGAAGTCAATCCGCTGCGTGTTTCTGGAATAACTTCCCAACCGTTACAGATATGTCCACCAAACTATCGTTCCCTGTCAGGCAATGGCTTTGACACAATCACGAGGAAAAGATACATCGATGCCATGTCAGATCACGGAATATTCATTGTGTCGGAATTATCATGACGTTATCAGTGATGGCAAGCGCAGCTGTCTGCATGTCTGCAGGGATAAACTCGCAGTTTTTCTTGTTATAACAGCCCCTAGGCGGTCAAAGGGATCTGTGCCGACCATTCGCCATAACACGAAGGTAAGCCAGCACATTTTCCGAACCAATCACCACTGAAAACGTCGTGAGTGTAGCCATACGTGATGCGGCTGGGAACAGCAAAACAGTCGCATCTAATAAGTCGGCCTGGCCTCCTTCTATTGACGGCAGGGCGTCGTTCCAGCGTGGAAGAGAGTAACCTATCATTTTGCACATTGTTACAAGCCCCGTAAGGCACTGCGGCCGGCGGAGACATTCCCTGCTCTCAGGCATTGTACGTGACCTGTGACGTCATCAGTCATGCGACGAGTTAGCTGAGCGTCTCTTGGGTGAGATGGGTCAGGGCTTTCAATCGCCGCCCAATGTTTTCGATCGGACGGATGGAGCCGGAGGCAGCTGGGAGTTGTATAGAGCCGGAGACAGCTGGGAGTGAGGACAGAGCCGGAGACGGCTGGGAGTTGCATGGAGCCGGAGACAGCTGGGAGTTGCATAGAGCCGGAGACAGCTGGGAGTTGTATAGAGCCGGAGACAGCTGGGAGTTGTACAGAGCCGGAGCCAGCTGGGAGTTGTATGGAGCCGGAGCCATCTGGGAGTTGTACAGAGCCGGAGACAGCTGGGAGATGTACAGAGCCGGAGACAGCTGGGAGTTGTATAGAGCCGGAGACAGCTGGGGGTTGTATAGAGCCGGAGACAGCTGGAAGTTGTATAGAGCCGGAGACAGCTGGGAATTGTATAGAGCCGGAGACAGCTGGGAGTTGTACAGAGCCGGAGACAGCTGGGAGTTGTACAGAGCCGGAGACAGCTGGGAGTTGTATCTCCGCTGGCCGTCGGATACTCCGGTCGGCAGCGGACTGAGCGCCCAGCTACCATCACAGTGGCCGCGGCCCGCCCTCGAGCCACGGCCACTCCACAGATCAATTTTTCGGAGTTCGCCGCTGCAACGCTGACAGATTTCGCCGCTCATAGTGCGGGTAGGCCAGCAGTCACTCTGGCATCATCTGCAGCATTCGTCATTTTTCGTTCCACCGCCACCCCGGACCTCACCGCCGTACCTTCATTGGCGCCAAACAGCGCACTACTATCTTTCACGACCGCGCAGTCTCCAGTGTCAATTTCACCACATTTTTTAACGCTGCAAGCAAAACCGCAGAGCTGCAGCTGGGCCTGTCAATGCTGAACTGGAATGAGGTGTGATAGAGCAAGCAGTGGGACGGGCCCGACTATCTGACCTGACCCGACCACGCCTGACGACCTGGCCTCACGTGGCAGAGGTGCTGTACCTGTACCCGACCTGGCTGTGCCTGAGCGTTCTGAGCGAACTGGGCAGGACCACTGTATCTCACCTGACGCGGTACGCCATGTGATAATCCCATCTTACCTGACCTGACCTAATATGACCTAGCCTGAATGTACCTGGCCATCCCGGACAAAGCCTGGCGTGACTGTACCGCACCCAGCCTGACACAACTGCACGTGACCTCACTTGCTGGTCAGACTCGGCCTGACCTGACCTGACGTACCTGATCCGTTCAGAGCCGACGGCGAAGAGACGGTGGTGGAGCGGCCGCCCGGGAATGTTGCGTTCCTCTTGTGTCGGCCCTGTAACACAACACATGCACTGCGTCAGGAAGGCGACAAACGCGAGGCGAAGACGAGTACAAATCAACGCTGCGACTGTGCGGAGCACGGCTCACCAACAGTCAGATCGTCAGAGCAGCACCACAGATCATCAACGCTGCGACTGTGCGGAGCACGGCTCACCAACAGTCAGATCGCCAGTACAGCACCACAGATCACCAACGCTGCGACTGCACGGAGCACGGGTCAACAACAGTCAGATCGCCAGTACCGCGCCACGGACCATCCGCAGGTCGTCAGAGCACAACCGCAGACCATCCGCACATTGGCAGAGCAGCGCCACAGGCCATCCACAGATCGCCAGTGCAGCGCCAGAGACCATCCGCAGATCGCCAGTGCAGAGCCGCAGACCCTCCACAGATCGCCAGTGCAGCGCCACAGACCCTCCACAGATCGCCAGTGCAGCGCCAGAGACCATCCGCAGCAGGCCACTGCTGTCAGCCGGCTGAGGTGGGGGTGGGGAAGCGGGGTCCACTGGCTGATGTGGGGCGGGGAAGTGAGGTCCACCGGCTGATGCGGGGCGGGGAGGCGGGGTCCGCCGGCCGATGTGGGGCGGGGAAGCGGGGTCCGCTGGCTGATGTGGGGCGGGGAAGCGGGGTCCGCCAGCTGATGTGGGGCGGGGAAGCGGGGTCCGCCGGCTTATGTGGGACGGGAAAGCAGGGTCCACTGGCTGATGTGGGACGGGGAAGGGGGGTTCGCCGGCTGATGTGGGGCGGGGAGGCAGGGTCCGCCGGCTGATGTGGGGCGGGGAGGCGGGGTCCGCCGGCTGATGTGGGACGGGGAGGCGGGGTCCCCAGGCTGATGTGGGGCGGGGATGCGGGGTCCGCCGGCTGATGTGGGGCGGGGAGGCGGAGTCCGCCGGCTGATGTGGGACGGGGAGGCGGGGTCCACGGGCTGATGTGGGGCGGGGAAGTGCGGTCCACCGGCTGAGGCGGGGCGGGGAGGCGGGGTCCGCCGGCCGATGTGGGGCGGGGAAGCGGGGTCCGCTGGCTGATGTGGGGCGGGGAAGCGGGGTCCGCCAGCTGATGTGGGGCGGGGAAGCGGGGTCCGCCGGCTTATGTGGGACGGGAAAGCAGGGTCCACTGGCTGATGTGGGACGGGGAAGTGGGGTTCGCCGGCTGATGTGGGGCGGGGAGGCAGGGTCCGCCGGCTGATGTGGGGCGGGGAGGCGGAGTCCGCCGGCTGATGTGGGGCGGGGAGGCAGGGTCCGCCGGCTGATGTGGGGCGGGGAGGCGGAGTCCGCCGGCTATGTGGGACGGGGAGGCGGGGTCCGCCGGCTGATGTGGGGCGGGGAGGCAGGGTCCGCCGGCTGATGTGGGGCGGGGAGGCGGAGTCCGCCGGCTGATGTGGGACGGGGAGGCGGGGTCCACTGGCTGATGTGGGGCGGGGAAGTGAGGTCCACCGGCTGATGCGGGGCGGGGAGGCGGGGTCCGCCGGCCGATGTGGGGCGGGGAAGCGGGGTCCGCTGGCTGATGTGGGGCGGGGAAGCGGGGTCCGCCAGCTGATGTGGGGCGGGGAAGCGGGGTCCGCCGGCTTATGTGGGACGGGAAAGCAGGGTCCACTGGCTGATGTGGGACGGGGAAGTGGGGTTCGCCGGCTGATGTGGGGCGGGGAGGCAGGGTCCGCCGGCTGATGTGGGGCGGGGAGGCGGAGTCCGCCGGCTGATGTGGGACGGGGAAGTGGGGTTCGCCGGCTGATGTAGGGCGGGGAAGCGGGGTCCGCCAGTCGAACGGCGATACCAGTTCCAGTCCACGTGGCAACCAGTCACGGTGGCGTCGCAGCAATATAACACAACACACTACATGTCGGCACAACACACTACATGTCGGCACAACACACTACATGTCGGCACAACACACTACATGTCGGCACAACACACCGCATGTCGGCACAACACACCGCATGTCGGCACAACACACCGCATGTTGGCACAATGAAGAATCAAACAGTTCACAGCGAGCGCAGCAGATGGCCATAACAGAAGACAATGAACAAGGGGTTGTCATGAACCGCCTGGCTGCTACCGCCGATGTCTATGCCCAGTAACGACAGGGACGATTCAATGATGCCGATCTTCGCCCCCTCCCGCCGTTCAGCAAGGCAGTTAGACGCAGAAGTAAACGACCGTCGTCTTCGAACGAGGCCTCTCTCGTCTGACTTCAGCTTTCATTCATGGGCCCAGGCCTTTCTTCTACGCGACCGCAAAGATGTCGTCACGGTGGCGTGGCACGGGCCTCGCGCTGGCAACAGTCCTGACCTAGCGCTGCTGAGCTGACGTGTTCATGACACTTCACGGCACGGGCCTCGCGCTGGCAACAGTCGTGACCTAGCGCTGCTGAGCTGACGTGTTCATGACACTTCACGGTACGGGCCTCGCGCTGGCAACAGTCCTGACCTAGCGCTGCTGAGCTGACGTGTTCATGACACTTCACGGTACGGGCCTCGCGCTGGCAACAGTCGTGACCTAGCGCTGCTGAGCTGACGTGCTCATGACACTTCACGGTACGGGCCTCGCGCTGGCAACAGTCCTGACCTAGCGCTGCTGAGCTGACGTGTTCATGACACTTCACGGTACGGGCCTCGCGCTGGCAACAGTCCTGACCTAGCGCTGCTGAGCTGACGTGTTCATGACACTTCACGGTACGGGCCTCGCGCTGGCAACAGTCGTGACCTAGCGCTGCTGAGCTGACGTGTTCATGACACTTCACGGTACGGGCCTCGCGCTGGCAACAGTCCTGACCTAGCGCTGCTGAGCTGACGTGTTCATGACACTTCACGGTACGGGCCTCGCGCTGGCAACAGTCGTGACCTAGCGCTGCTGAGCTGACGTGCTCATGACACTTCACGCTATCGGTGCCCATTAGCAAGCACAATGGCCTGGACCGGCACGTGTATGTGATGCCGCCTGACCTAATCGCGAAGGCACTTCAACTTCAGACTCAGCTGAGCGGCGTTTGTACTCTGTCGCTGAGAGACAGCGCTTTCGCCGCTAGTGCGGCGATTGCGAGAGCCGCGCCACTGGCTATAACCTGGCAGTTTCCGGTCAGCTGTTAACACGACCCAGGCGACGCCAGCCGGGTCAGTGGTCTGTCCGGTCAGCGTGTGAGAACGCCAGCTTGCGAGAGCCGCGCCACTGGCTATAACCTGGCAGTTTCCGGTCAGCTGTTAACACGACCCAAGGGACACCAGCCGGGTCAGCGGTCTGTCCGGTCGGCGTGTGAGAACGCCACCCGCCAGTTGCCTTTTGACAAGATTGCCTCACTTTAAACTATGCCTTCGCTGGCATTCTCGATTGGAATGTCCCTTTTTGTGCGAGACTGGCACAATGTACTGTGAATATGAGGTGGTCCGTCCACGTTGAGTAGTACATATTGTTTTTGTTGTTGTTTTTGCTGAACTGTTGTTTGCTCTTTGTGGCTGAACTGTCGAAGCCGCTTGACAAATAGACGCTCGTGTTTTACTGCCGACATATAAACACATACACATACTACAGAGCCTCGTGCTCCTACCACGGGCATGCCATGTCGCTTCTACATGGCGACATGAGCGCGCGGCCTCAGAAGCCGGACGCCACGTGCCCCTCCGTCATGTGTTCCTCCGTGTCTGGAGATCGTTGAGAAACCATCTATCGACGTAACTTCAATCCGGAGAAATCGTCACTGAAAGCGCTGCTGACGAACCGAACAGCGCTCGATTAGGTGGCAGGCTGCTTTTAAACTCTCCCCCTCGCGCGCGCGCGCGGTTAGCGAGCACATGTCCTCGCGGACAGACTCGTCACGTGTTCAGCGAGCGGCGATGGCCATTAGAAGAGTATTGCACGCCGGCTTACACAACGACACGCCGCCGGCACTTGAGAGTGGCAGTGGTGAGCTACACCCCACAGTGGTGAGCTGCGCCGCTTTGTTCACAGCTGTTTTTGCCCGAACTGGGACGATGTGGCAACAGGGGCGATTGTAATGCGCCCAGACGCACTCTATCTAACAATCGGTACGTGTCAGATCAATATCTCGCATCACTTGCAACGAGCCCACAGCGCTGTTGTGAAACACTGGACGGCGGGTCGCGTCCCATTTGAACACGAAATGGACGGCGTGCACCAGCTCGACGCGTCAAAAGCAAAGACCGAGGCATTTATGAACCAATACAGTGGAAACTGCACACCAGCCGCATTTTAACCATCTCGGGCTGAAGCGGCTTTCAAAACCGTCACCCACACCTCTCAAGGGTCACGTGTCCCAGTGACGACACAGGTGCACACCTAGCACACCAGTGACGTCACTGGTGCACGCAGCTCGTCGGCATCGCGTCCCCGTGGTGCAGAAGAGACGCGGCCACTGTGGCGCGCCGTGTCGCAAGGCAGTGCGGCGAGAAAAACAGCGGCGAGAGGCGGCGATAAACGGCGCAGATGGGGAGATGAACCGGCCGGGAGACGGGGCGAGTGCGTCCGTCGCTGGGAGGTCGGCCGTCCGGCTGTCCGTACCCCACGGTGGCCGACGGGCACCCCCAACGCTGCCCACCGGCCTCCCCAGATCATCAGGTCCGCAGATCAGAGGCGCCAACGGCCGCGCGCGCCGTTCCATGGCGGCGTCGCTTTACGAGGCGGGTGAAGACAATGGGCAATGAGCTCCGAATATCGCCCTACACCGCGGCGCGGCTTGGCACGCCGCCACCTCCGTGATATTGTGTGGCGTCCCGGTGTTCGTTCACAAGCAGCGTGTCGCACTAAGTTTGGAGCCCATACGCGTGCGTGCGTGCGTGCGTGCGTGCGTGCGTGTGTGTGTGTGTGTGTGTGTATGTGTGCGTTACAAACCAGTAATAAACTGGGAGTGAGATTACCACAAGCAACACGTGGTCCTATGAAATGCACCAGCCACCTACGGGCATTCGCCATCCATCCATCCATCCATCCATTCCATCCATCCATCCATCCATCCATCCATCCATCCATTCCATCCATCCATCCATCCATCCATCCATCCATCCATCCATCCATCCACCATCCATCCATCCATCCATCCATCCATCCATTCCATCCATCCATTCCATCCATCCATTCCATCCTATCCCCTTCGGATGACATATTTGTTCAGACTTCCGTCCTTGTTTTTTTTTCCATCTGCGTTCTCCGACTTCTACTCGCTGTTTTTGATATCCCGTTCTCCGGTCACCGAAGATGTCAAGTACCAAGGAGTGGATGAAAGTCTGTTTATCCAGCACGTCAGCCACACACCAGGCGAGACCGATAGCCACAGCAATAACTGTGCATCCGCTGCGCTAACACCCTGTCCCAATGACTCGGTAACAATGCGGTCTCCTCCGGTCTGGCGGCCGTCGACCGCGGACGCCACGCGCCACCGGCCCGACGTGCTGAACAGGGAAACAGTGCGCTAAATACTTTGTGGGAGGCCAGATTGTGAGGGAGCAATGGATCAAGTTATCGCGGACCAACCACGCCGACGAACGTCTCCGAGACGACCGCGCGACCTAAGCTCGGGGAACGCCAACAACGCGGCAGTGCGGCTGGTTGTGGGAGTTTAGCCAACGGCGGCGCAGCAGCAGCGGGTCCCGTCAGATGATGCTTTGAAACAAACGAACGCCACAAATGCTTGGAGCCACACTGTAGTTGGTTCCTTGGGACGCCCTCCGGCGCTACCACCAATCCATATGATCACAACCGAGCGGCCCAATGGAAGGCACAAGCCCACTGACACTGCCCAGCGAACGGGACGATGCTGACACTGCCCAGCGAACGGGACGATGCCGACACTGCCCAGCGAACGGGACGATGCCGACACTGCCCAGCGAGCGGGACGATGCTGACACTGCCCAGCGAACGGGACGATGCCGACACTGCCCAGCGAACGGGACGATGCCGACACTGCCCAGCGAACGGGACGATGCTGACACTGCCCAGCGAACGGGACGGTGCTGGCGGCCACCATGTACCAACTGTATGCAACACAATGCAGTTCTGTCCATTCTGTGTGCGCACGCCATACGCGCGCCACACCACACCGCAGACCGATCTCAATCCCGCCCACGACACAGAATGCCCCTGACCCCGGTCACTGACCTTGACCATGGTGGTGTAGACATGGAGCGCGTCGATCCACCAGCGCGACTCGTCCCGGCACGTGCCCTTGATGAAGGTGACGCGATCGGGCGCAGTCAGCGCGATGCTGTAGCTGTTGCCGGTGACGTCCTCGGCGTCGGCCACTTCCATCACCTTCGACATATCGATCACGCCGTGCGGCACCGTCTCCGGCTGGAACAGAAGGCCAAGAGAGGTCAGCAACGGTGACAAAGTCCTGAGGGAGCTCACGCGAGAAGCGAGAAAAAGATGGTGGAGTTTAAGAAAGGTAACGGACGTTCCAGGCCACGTAAGGAAACGGAGTGGCGTCGCCGGTATGAAACGCCTGGGCACTTCACATCGCCTCTTTAAAACACTACGAAGGTTACAGAAGCTTACAGGTGTAACTGCGGTCACAGAAGGTCACTAGTGGCGCCCAAACCATGAGAACAGTTCCTGTATCCCGTCAGAAACATAAGTGCCAGGACCCAGAGCCCTGAGGAACCGGAGCCCAAGCAAGTATCCCATCTATGGCAGGCTATCCCACTACTGGCAGGCCACACACGGGTCACGGCTATCTTAAGGCATGGGTGGTGAGTCATGGGGGTCACGGGTGGGCTTCACCGGGTACTTCCATTCGGACACCGCTGGAGCTCCACAGTGTATTTGGGCATTGAGTTTCCAAATACGGCAAGTCTGGCGCACGAGAACACTCCACCGGTCACCCAAGGGTCACAGAGTTCGAGACGGGGCTTCGTCGGAGCGCGGTATCAACACGGCCGCAAAGAGATGTCCCTGAAATGACCGTCGGACAAGCCGGTCCCAGTGGCGTCTCTTCCAAACAAGATCCGCATCAATTTATCCGACTTCCGCGCGCCCGGAGGCCACCAGCGCTCCGCCACGTCCCCGACGGTGCCCCAGGTCACCCAGTCCGATCCGTCCCCGGCGAGCGGGGAGGGGGTGTCGACGTCACCCCACCGTTGACACCCGCCGCCGCGGCTCTCGGGCCAGTGGCGACCGATGGACTTCGGGGCGGGCGCCGATGACGGCCGGTGTCGTCGCGTCCCCCCGCGGCCCGGCACGCCGAGGCGGAGGGCAGGGGCATGGCCGGTGACGGGGGGCACCTCACCCCGTCAGTGCTGATGACGCCCCTGGAGAAGTCAGCGCACGGGGAGCGGCGGGGTCCCCGCGGCCGCCGTGAGGGACCGCCGGCAGTTAACGATCGGCCCTGTCTGTCGTGCTGCACTGTGACGCTGCGATCACAAATGGGATCATCCCTTACATGGATGACTGGCAGCCCTCTCTCCTGCGGGCGCGGGAGGGCGCGACCCCATCGCACCCGGGGACAACGTTCGACGCGCATCACTGGACGGATGATGACGGGACGGCCGCTCGCTGGAGCCAGGCACGGCAGCCAATCCCACTCACATATCGACATACAAATGTACACCAAAGTACGGGCGTCCATTGGTCGCGTGTCTGAAAGATATCCATTCAGAAAATCGGGGCAGTCATCACGCAGAGCGTCATAAGCAGCCAGCAGCATGGAGGTCTTTCCAGCCAAAAAAACTGCGTCTAATTATACACATTGTTGTGTAAAAAATTATAAAAAACATCAATATTCGCCAAATACGCAATGCACTAGACATCAGCAATAGGGTAGGGTGTTGTGTCTAGTACGCGAATCATTGCATGCGCTACCACACGTTAACCCGTGTTAGCCAGTACGACAACGCCGCTGAATTGCATTGAGTATAGCATCGCAGCTGCATTTAATTGTTACAAATGAACGCAAGCTTTAACAAGAACGAATATGCTGGCAACACACAGTCAGATCGGGTATCATATTCGTAACGACCACACTTCATCTGAGTCATCTTTTGGCGGGTTATCCCTCCGATAGCGTGACAGCAGCGGGGCTGACCCCGCTCCGTTCAGAGGAGATCCACTCACTGATCTGCCGACGAACGCCAGCAAAATACGACCACAACCGTCATTAACAATATGTGCCATCGAAGGCAAAATCGAAGAAATCAGACAGGCCCCGACCACTCAATGCAACTGGAACAGCGCTTTGCATGCTTAATGAACAGTGCAGCGTGTGCCCACATGACACCACCACGGAACGAACGGGCCCCGGTCACGTGGCGCCATCACGGGACAAACGGGCCCCGGTCACGTGACGCCATCACGGGACCAGCGGGCCCCGGTCACGTGACGCCATCACGGGACAAGCGGGCCCTGGTCACGTGGCGCCATCACGGGACGAACGGGCCCCGGTCACGTGGCGCCATCACGGGACAAACGGGCCCCGGTCACGTGACGCCATCACGGGACCAGCGGGCCCCGGTCACGTGACGCCATCACGGGACAAGCGGGCCCTGGTCACGTGACGCCATCACGGGACGAACGGGCCCCGGTTGGCTTCATCGTCGGCACGAAAGGCACGCGTCCCATCTTCATACGGACATTTTTGTGTCAGTAAGATGCGTTACACAACCATAATAACTGTTGTTCAGTTGATCGATAAAGTATTCGTTTCACTGCGTGACAGGGCTCCCGGGTCATGACCTGCGGCCGCGCAGGGTCACGCTGCTAGGCGGTGGACACGCCAGCAGGGATCGAGGAGTTGCATGTGAGGGCCACGCTTGCGACCACACCGGCCATTTCAGAGTTGTTAATAATACAATGTGCGCCACGATCCCAGAGCCGGCAGCTGACCCAAGCCTGAACCAGCGGGAAAGCTGCTTGTAACGCAGATTACCGCAATGTTGTCGGGTCTATTCGCGGCGCGTATCCACTGATATATAGCCTAGGGAAGTTTGGATCCTGACACTCACTCGCAAACTAACAGCATTCCTCGCAAGGAGTCATGACAAGGACTGTCCAGCCATAAACACGTCATTAAAGCAGCTGTTGAACTGAAGTCGTTCACAATCAGTCCCAAACACTTCGCCGACACAGCCAGCTACCTCACCTGCCAACTGAGCCGCCACGCTCCTCGCGGCAGGCGTGCCCCTGTCAGGGCCACAACATAATCGCAGTGCCTTTCCCCCCAGCACATCCAACCGAGTCTGTGACGGAAGGTCGCCATCGCCGCAGGCCCCGGCCGGGCAGTCCCGGCCGGGTTCAGGTCCCACCCCGACACCCCAGAGCGGCGCGACCGGTGGCAGGCCCCGATTTCAGCGGGCCATCACACGCCTGCGAGCCTGTCCTCTGCAGATCGTGCCGCCTGCTGGCCGACGGCTCCAGGGTCGGCCGGACAACACCTGGACAGTGTCTGGACAACACCTGGACCTTTGGCCCTTCCGGCACCCCGATGATGCCGGAAGGGCACCGACCGCACCAGGACGCAAATTGCTCGGCTCCTGCTGTCGTGGGTCAGGAAATCGATCAGGTATCCGACCTGCATCCACCGGAAAGGATTCACGGCATCCTGCTCCCTGTCCACCACCGCAGCAGGTTCTGATGGAGAGGTTGGGAGTCCGAGGTCCACACTGTCCGCAGCCTTCTTCCCTCCCACTTTTCCTTCTACCTTCTACCTTTTACCTTCTCCCCCCCCCCCCCCCTCCAGCCACAACTAATGAGAATATCACAAGGACTGAGGTAACGGCAGGCACTTCAGCACGTCGAGCGTTTAATCAGTGGTGTTTGCCAGAGCGGTGGTAAAACATCGCCGCGCCTCATGAGCGTGCACAGCTCTGACACAGCCCGTTTGCAGAGTAAGGGTCCAACTCGATCATCTGATAACGGCCATTGTGTACGGCATTAAGGTCGGCTTAGTGGTGCTTCGGCAGATTCAGAGGTCGCCAGGGTGGTGCAGGGGAGCTCGGGTTTTGATGGGTTTACTGCACCTCCAACTGCACCAACAGGTGCAGCGCGACCGCCTCGGTTGAAAGGCCCGCCGCTCGAGGGCCGAGGATGCAGAGCTCAGTGTTTTTCCGAGATGACGGCGCTGCCGACGGCGCCGGTCCGCCGGTCCGCCGGTCCGCTCCCCCGACAGTGCGCCTTTCCTGCACCACGAGAACCGCCGACCGGAAAGGGCGCCGCGCTGCTTCAACATTCAACGCAGTGCATGGAGTTTTTGCAGAGCTGTCAACGGGTCAGAACAGCCCTGGCAGCTCCCACCGGTCACGTGGTCCCACGCCAGCGCTTAATACAGGTCACGTGTGCTCGGCCCGGCACGAGGCCCGCGCCGGGGTCCACCTGTGTGGCTTCCGGTGTCTGTGTAGGGCTGCCGGGCACCGAGGGCTGGGGGGGGGAGGGGGGGGGGGGCTCACACAGAGCGCACGTGCCAGAACCAGATCGGAACAGCCGAGAACGGACATCAGCATCTGCCGCTGACGGCAGTGGGCGGGAGATGTGAGCGTGCAGCACCTTGCAACAGTCAGCGCCTGCACCTTCCGAGATGCACAAGCATGCACAAGCATGCACCAGATGCACGAGCACAAAATGTGCACGGAGGCAGCTCGGTACCAGCCTAGTTTGCGCCGACGTCAGCCGCGGCACGCTCGTGTCCCCTCCGGGGCACGTGCCACTTCCCGGCGGCGACATGTGTCGACGGTGACGCGCGGCCGCGTGAGCCGTCGACCGGGCCGCCGAGCTGGTGCCCATTCGCGACAACAGATGGCGGACCGGTCGCCGGCCGGACGGCCCGCCCGGCGGCGGCGGCAGCGGCAGCGGCGGCGAGAAACAGCACGTCACAGGCTGATACCCGGTATCGCTGGCCGAGGGTGATGTGCAGTGTTCAGCCACCTGTGCAATCGGCGTCGGCGCTGCCAACGGCGCCGCGCTCCCGCGTCCCGCACCAACCGTGGCCACGTCCCGCCCGACCACCGCCGCGTCCCGCGTCCACGGACGGCCGACCGAGGCCGTCAGGCTCGCGCAGGCACAAACCGGACCGCAGAGCAGTTTGACCAGACGACATTGGGCATGGCGGGCACGACCGGGGGTTCAGCCCGCCAGTGACGACAGGTGAGGTCCCACGCAGAGCCTCCTGGCACTGCGCAAACTGTGACCCTCTGAGGCCAGCACCCCACAACAGGTCTGAACCCCAGCGCAGCGGAGAGAGCGGGGTAGTCGAGCCCCGACGACGCCGGTGGCAGAGGCCTCCACCCGACCCCTGACCGCTGACGGGGCGGGGGCGGGCCAAGCCAACACGGACAACGGGCAGACGAGACAAAGCCAAAGACAAC